TTCCTAATGCGCTCTAGCGCTGCAAGGGAAATAGCTGATCCCAGTCAGCATTTTGACCGCCTCAAATCATCCAAACTTCTACGCACTCAAAAACGACATAAAGATACATCAGGCAGGGCCATACTAAATTCATGCCAGCCTAAAGCCTTGCAGAAGCAACCATTTTCCACAACCGCTCTCTCTCTCCATATCTTTTGCTTGCCGGGGTCGGGGATTCTCAGATACCCAGTGCCCTAAAGTCGATTAAATACGAAGAAAGGACTAATAAATCGCTTCTTGGGATGTTGCCGGGCACTACTGTATCCTCAGAGTATGAGGCCTACAATTCACATGGAGAGGAGCTCCCCTTGAATCTAGAGGCCATCAATGTAAGTACGCTTGAACCCATACGTCATCTTATCTCCAGCCTACTAGTGGTCGTCCCACAAGGGCATCTATTTATTCTGGAAGCCTCTCCTTTCGATCTATTCTTGTATCGTAAGAGGCGTTTTCCTCCCCTTTCACGCCTCTTTGTGGCAGTTTTCGTCTTTGTGCACGACCAACTAAAGTCCGAGCTGATCTCCATGGGCTGATCCTGTTCCGGAACGAAACGAAACAAGCTACATACAAAGTACGCCCCCCTGTAATTTAGAACGTGGACGTCCACTGGCTACGTGTTTCCATTAGTTTGAAATGTTGTGGCTGCATGATGTATTCTATTTTCTCTACCATGGTACTACGACGTATCGCTGTCTCGGGTTTCAAGCAGCACTTAGCCGAAACAGGAAGCGCGCAATCTGAATGAAGGACGATCTAAGCCCTGTAATGCGTTACATGGAAGGATCGCAGCACCGTTACACTGGCGTATTCACGAACGTATCCTTAGATGAAGTAAATTCTGCCGCGCGGTCCATATTCTACATAAACTTTGGTTCCGGGGCTTTCATCCATCTTTCTCTTCCAGTCATCTCTTCAGTACAGCTACCAATTTCTCTTTCTGTCGCTTTCCCAAACGATGCGGCTGCTCTCTTCCCAGCTGCGCCTCTCTTTCATAACATGGCTTTGCTATGTGATTATAAGCCAGGCTGCTCCTACAATTGACCAACAAATATCTCAGCGAGCGGCTTCAGATCGACTTGTATTCTGCCACTTCATTGTAAGACCCTCGCACTGATTCCGATGTCTATCTTCTTACGTTCACAATTAGGTCGGCATTGTCGGCGATCGAACCAGCGCCGCCGATTACGATGCAGATATGCAGAGGGCTAAAGCCTACGGCATTGACGCATTTGCGTTAAACATTGGGACTAACGATTTCACGGACACGCAACTTGGCTATGCATATGACTCGGCAAACAACAACGGCATGAAGGTCTTCATATCTTTTGATTTCGCCTATTACTCCAGCTCGTCGGACGCCTCGGCCGTTGGCCAGAAAATAGCACAATATGGAAGCAAGCCGGCACAGCTCATTGTCGACAACAAGGTTTTCGCTTCTTCGTTCGTTGGAGATGGACTAGACGTTGCTGCAGTGCGCTCCGCTGCTGGTGTAAGTGACTATACTTTCGTACATGCCATTCCATCCATTTTGTTAACAACGCTAGATCGACATCTTCTTCGCACCAAACTTCAATCCTGCGGCGGGCTCGTCTGCTGACAACATCGACGGCGCGTTTAATTGGCTGGCCTGGGACAACAACGGCAACAACAAAGCTCCGACTGTCGGACATAATGTCACCGTCGAAGATGGGGATACGACCTACATAAACTGGCTCGGCTCCAAGCCATATATCGCGCCTGTCTCGCCATGGTTCTTCACGCATTACGGGCCAGAAGTCTCCTACAGTAAGAACTGGGTGTTTCCGGGAGATCTTCTCTGGTACCGTCGATGGAATGACATTCTCGCTTTTGGCCCGAGGTTTTTGGAGATCATTACCTGGAATGACTATGGCGAATCTCATTACATCGGACCTCTCTCCTCGAAACACAACGATGACGGGGCCTCTAAGTGGGTAAATGACATGCCACATAACGGCTGGCTCGACATGGCCAAGCCTTTCATCGCCGCATACCGTGCCGGTGATTCTTCCCCGGCTGCGCATATTACCGAAGACAAACTGGTGTACTGGTATAGGCCCACCCCGAAGACGCTGAACTGCGACGCCACGGACACCACGATAGCGCCGGCAAATAACGACAGCGGCAACTACTTCGAAGGACGCCCCAACGGTTACGAAACCTTGCAGGACGCCGTATTCGTCGTTGCGCTCCTGAAGTTGGCTGGAAAGGTTATCGTGAACTCCGGTTCGAACTCGCAGACCTTTGACGCGCCCGCCGGTGCTTCGGCGCACCAAATTCCAATGGGGGTCGGAAGCCAGAAATTTACTCTGACTCGGGACAACGTAACGGTTCTAAGTGACACATCATTGAGAGATATTAGCAACGTCTGCCCCTGTGGGATATACAACTTCAATGCATACGTTGGTACCGTACCTGCTGGCCCTCCTGACTCTCTAGGTCCGGATGGCCTTGTGTCTTTGACGGTTGGCCTCCATGTGAGCACTTGCCTGCCAACACCAACTCTTGGGGTTGCCGCAACTGTTGCTGGAAGCGAAGCATATATTACTGCTGTTTAAGGGAATACGACTTTTACTAAGCGCGGAGCCTATCTCTATGTCCAGGCATAGCTTGGTCTTGGCATAGCCAGGGCTTTTCTTTCGTATAAAAGATGTTTATCCATTGTCATGGAAATATAAAAAGTTGCGTTTTATGATAATATTAGAGATTAAAGTGCTGATCCCGCTATGACATTCCTACAACCCGGATCTAAACCTAACACGAATTGGTGACCGCGCGGTCTAGGCGGGCATAGAGAGGTGTAGATAAGCTATAAAGAAACGGCTTGTGCTCTGTGATAGTACAATAACATTTGGATTTTCTTTTGGTAGCGGTGATAGAAGCGAAGACTTACGATGTGACACTCTGGTGTGTTGCTTTCTCCTGAACTCGCTCATACTTGCTTCGATGTTAATCCAGCGTGTACAACACCCTTTTCTACCGATCTTAGAGATAGAACGACATTGGAAATCAGTGATGACATTCGGAGACAATCGAAAAGAAAGAGGAAATAAAACTATTTACGCCAAGTGCCGTGGATCATGAGAACAACTATGTTCGGAATGTTATAGCCATATAACAACGCCTCGCTATTGACCGCAACGCACTACCGTGATGAGACTGTTTTGCAAGCCTAATTGTCGGAGTATCTGTCTTCGTTTCTCTCGTCTCATCTTGTTCTATACGAGACAGCAAGTCCCTTTGTGTTGAGCTTAGATATAGGCTCGTTCCTTTCGTAGCTACTCCAATAGACAAGCATTCACATCAGCTTCGTAGCTGCTCATCACTTATAGCAAATCCCCTCGATGATTTTTCCGCCACACCGCAACTTTTTCCGGGGTGTTCCGGCAAGTGTCAATACATCTGAGACTGAGTCCCTTCCATGCAGACCAGTATTTTGCTGCACGATGATCCGGCTTTTCGGAACATCGTCGGCAGAACCAAAGACCAGAGGGACCAACATGGGGACGGAAGTAAGCCCGACCCTCCAGCGAGTTGCTGCAGCTCTCAGCTTCACAAATTGTCGGTCTCGGTGGCTTTGGTGTTTGCTTCAGTTTCTCCCTTCGGCGTAAGTGTTGCACAAACTCAATGCTTGCCTCTGCAGGGTTCGCGAGGACGTATTTGACGCATCTCCTGTGGAACAAGTTCGCGCACGAACGGCATAGCCAAGCATCCCTATCAGCGTCGAAAAGCGCTCTAAACAAAGCATCTGGCGTCGCATTGCTCCTTTTTGGACAGTCATTAAAGAGCCTTCCACAGTCGGGACAGTGCTGAGTGCTGCCATCAGGCGGTAGCATGCGCTGCTTCTGCAAACAAGATGAAGACGTATCGTATGTCCCGTTTCTTGACTTTTTTGGTTGCCATTTCGAAGACGGACATGGCCTCGGGGCCCTCGATTCACTTTTGTTGAGGTTGGGCAAGTGATGTGAGATCGAGGTGAAGAAGGTGCGACAAATCGGTTGGCACGCGTTGAAACAGTTCGGATGCAAGTGTCTGTCCATCGGACGGCCTTTCACGGTCATTGCTAGACCCCTGGACGCCAGTATCCTTATGTTTGCCGGTATATTCATATTGCCGAATTTCAGATTGTGTTCCCTCTGATGTCCCAAGTCGTCCTTACGCCTCGGCGTGGTATTGTACCATTGAGAAAACGTTGGCTGAGCAGGGCACGACTCAGGCTTGCTAAGGTACGTATCGAGTCGTCGAAAGCGATTTAAGCATAGCTTATTACCACGAGCGAGAATTGAGTGGTTGTGACGACTCTTAGGTTAGGGTATCGAGAGCGTTTGCTAGCAGGTTCGAGAAGGCTGAGAGGGACGCGTAGGCGAACGCGTGTTCGGAGAGAGGTGGTGGCTAGTCGGCGAGAGCGTTCGAGTGAGGTTGGAGCTGTTGCCCAGGTAGAACACGCGATCCTATGCATGGGGGTGCGCCGCGGATACTCTACTTAGACATGTAGGTATACCTAGCGAGGTGACAGCTGTGGTGGTCAATTGGTAAAGACAGCCCACGTACGGGTTGAGAAGAAGTGAAAACAAGCTTAAATTGACGCGCTGTGCCGCCCTGACCTCGCGACTCTTCAGCCACCACCTGTTACCCTTCATTAGGCCGTCAAGGCTGGTAATAGTCGAGTCTCTACGATGCTAATATCCATGGCTAGTATGTTCTATCAAAAAAGTTTCCCATAACGTCGTTCACCGGCCTCCGGAGATCACCTACCGGAGAATTGGTGGAGTATTTCGCGAGCAAATCTGGTCACGCTTAGCAACATTTAGACTAGCGTCCCAGTCCCTCAAATCCTCACCAATTCTCGGTGGTTGGTGATTCTTGCTCGCCGGTTAACAACGTTAGTTGGTGCCCAAAAGAGAAGCATCCACACACCGGCACAGAGCAAAAAAGAAGACGATTGACTGAGCCGGGAATCGAACCCGGGGCTAGCCGATAGTGCACATGGCAACGGCTAATTTTACCACTAAACCACTCAGTCTGTGCTGTTTATTTTGAGTAGAGACGTGTTAGTTCGTTATATGAGGGCTTGTCAACCGACCGTTCTAAATTCTACCATCCTCAATTTTGGAATTCACGCCCCTGCTACCTCTGTTGTGCGTTCATTGACACTAATGGCACATAAATCAGTGTGGAGATATTGGCCGTGCACGGGCCTTGGCTTGCGGGGTATTATTTTCGGTCCTGTCATCAATGGCTCCAAGGTTCCTCAGATTACAGAGAAACGTGTTGGTGCTGTGTTGGTAACATATTCGCCTCGCCCTTTCTCCCAAAACACTAATCTTAACGCCTGTGAACGCAAGATAATCTCTACGCCGACGGCCTCGAGCCGTCAGGATAGAAGTTGCCTTGTGCCGTTAGGGCGATACTCGCCTTGTGGCCTCTTCTTTCTCCCCAAAATCACCACCCTCTCGTCTTTCTTGCGATCACTCCTCGAATTCTCACTAGCACTACAGGCACACCGTCAAGTTGAGTGGAAGGAAGTTCGGGGAGACGTTAGTGTACCACCATGCCACAAACTGATCTTTCATTAGCGAGATCAAACTTGAACATCATCTCGCGAAATTCGGTTGTTTGATGGAAGAGCTGTGAGGAGTTCGAATCCGACTAGTTTCATCCAACGATGGAGTTGGAATCTATAGAGTGGGATAGAGAGTTGAAACGTATGATGTTGGAACTGATAGAGTCGGAATCTATAGAGTTGATTTAAGACCGTTGGATGGCTTGACTGGGCGAGTCGGAGCCCCGACAATATCACGATTGGCATAGGCGAGATTTTGGTAAGGACGTTTTTTGATTGAGTCCTGGTTCCAATTTCTATGACTACTATAGTATACACAGTACGAGGGAGAAAAGAAGGGAATCCGCAATATTTACAGGCAACTATAGGCTTGCACTCGACGTTGAGTCGAAGTGAATAATATCTAGCCCCCAGACTCCGCAATATCTAGCTCTCAAAGGGTTGCAAATCCGCTTCGCACATGATATCCTTCTTAGGCATCTTGCCGCCCAAGTATTCTGCGACATGCTTCATAACGCAGGTAGACGGCGCCGCAAAGGAGGAGTGCTGTCAGCATCGTTAGCCACCGCAAGGCATCAAAAAACCTCAAAGAACGCAATCGAGTATGAACGTACCCCTGCTGCATTTATAGTCACAACGACCGAGCCTGGGAAGCACTTCGCCATCTTTTGGGCACTATTGTTTAGGGTCAGCTGGAACCACACCATATTGCGAGGCAAATGGATGACTTACTTCCGTAGTGGACAGACGGGATCGAACTTGGTCGAGAGCAAGAGCATGGGGAAATCGAGCTTCGCAGATGGAGGGAGCAAGTCTACGATATCGACAAGTCAGCCACTGAAGCCTTCGTCTAGATTCAAGAGCCTTCTCCGACCACTCACCTCCGAAAGTCGCACTCCTAGGTGGCTTGACCTCCACATTCTTGCAGATGATCGCGTTCCAGCTCCACGCATCTCCAGCGTACCCACTCACACCCATGGTTTCATTGTTTACCTTCTTATACTGTTCAAGCGTCAGATTACCTTTCCCATGCGAGTCGACGCACTGAACAGCAGTAGCCGAACTCATCGAAGCCCACTCAAAGCCTTTACCGCACCCCGATGTGAGACTGAGCTGCCCAACCGCCGCCGCTGCGGCCAGTAGCGGGCTGCCATTGCCTTGCTCCAGCGCTGTGAGTACTTGATCCAAAATAGGGAAGAAGTTGAGGGGCCGGTACAGTGATTGCAGCAGAAATCGCTTTAGGTCGGCGTAAGTAGCTAGTTGTGGCGCGTTTGCAATACTCTCGTTAAAGACCGGAACGGGCTTCCATTTGATCTTCTCGATCACCCCATCAAGCGCTTTAGTGATGTCGGCAGGCGTCTTACGATAGAACGAGCAGCTCTTCGACCTAGCCCGATGGCACGATTCAGAGAAGCTCCGGACCACGGCATCCGCGTCAACGAGGTTCTTTGTCCAGTCGCCAGTGAAATAACCCTCTGGATCATCCACACCGTCCAAAACTATTCGACCTACCCGGTCTGGCCACTTAGCTGCGAAGACAGAGCCAGTAATAGTGCCATAACTGATGCCATAGTACCATAGCTTTCCGTCTGCTTCTGGTTTTTTGGCAGCCCGCTGCTCGGCCTCGACATATGTGAGCATATCTTGCGCTGCTGCGGAAGTGCTCACGTACCGAGCGGTGCCATTTGGACCCCCCAATACACGCGTGAACCATTTTCCGAATGCTTCAGTCGAGTAGTACTGGTTGACCAGCGCTGTTGACGATGCGTCTGGGACGGTGCGGTAAAAGGATGACTCGAAACTCGCTGCCGTTGCGGGATCGTCGGGAAACATCTCAATGCTCGGTTCGCTGTGGCCCACGCCGCGCGGGTCGAGCGCGATGATGTTGTAGGAAGTTCCTATGGCTATTTGGGCTTCTTCAGCATTGGCAATGAGCACGTCGACGCTTGAACCTCCGGGGCCACCTAAAGCGAGGTCAGCTCGCCCTTTATTCGTTCAAGAAGTTTGAGCCGACCTTGATTGAAGATAATGTTTGCGGCAGGTTGCTGGGCGGCGGAAACGCGAAGTAAGGCCAGGGCAGCGGTGCCGGCACTTGCATCTCCATAGTCTAATGGGACCTGCGGGTGGTAAGGTTGGAGATCGAATGGAGAAAGGTTCTACAATGTCGAAACACACCTTTAGACGCGTACAGGTAAAATTGCTGAAGCAAGGTACCCAATTGAGTTCGGCTGATGGCGCGATCTACTATGATTAGGTTCAGTTGTGTTTACAGTAATTGATTGGTACGGACCTGTCCCCAATCCTGTATCATGTCTCCATGCGGAGGAGACGGAGTAGCGTCTGCTTGCCGGAGCAGAAGTACGAGTGAAAGCACACAGAAAAGAGAACTCCGAGAATCTACCATTCTGTAACGAGACACAATACGAGAAAGATTCCAGGAACGTCCTCTACTCATAGGGAGAGCCGATTAAGCCGGCAGCATACTGTCTCTATGTACCCATTTCTATCCATGCGAGAACGCCTTGGTCGGTAATTCTCATAAGCATGGCTGAGCATCGTGCAATGACACTCTTCAATAGTACAAGTGGATACGGTGAGATTTCCCAGTGCGGTAGCTTCCTTTCCACGGTCGTTTGTCAAACGCACAAGCATGCTACATCAAGTGATAGAGGTCGTGGTCAGCAGGCCAGCATTCTAATTGGTCAGATCGGCTATTCTCGTGCTACTTCGGCCCCACAATACCTTATATAGCACTACCCCTTTCAATCGTCATCACGGCATTCCCAGCGCCCACGCATCCGCTACACCTCCAACACAGCCCCTTGACTGCTTGAGCACTTCGTTATAATGCTGTTGGATTCCTGGCTCTGCATCGGATCCCGATCACCCGAAGAGCCTTCTTGAAATAGCCGATCATCAATCATGCGACGTCCCGGCGACGCAGCTGTTCTGGTCTACGCGACTCCAAGCCAACAGGCCCTCAACCAGGTACCGATTGCTTCATCTCGCGTCCGTGTCCGAGTTCGCACGGGTTGCTTCACCTGCAAGTATGTTGTCTCTACTAGTCTTCATGTGGCGAATGGGCTACAGCCTAAATGATCTCCAGGACACGCCGCGTGAAGTGCGACGAAACTAAGCCTCACTGTCTACGATGCTCTCAAACTGGCCGCAAGTGCGACGGCTATCCCCGTGATCAGCATCCCAGTCTACTAACAACGTCTTTCTACTCCCTACCCTTTCGGATCCCAGGCAGCCAGAACGATCGCCAGATATTCCATTACTACAACATCTATGCCGCCAGGGACCTTTGCGGCTTCTCCACGGGGTCATCTTCCTTTTGGCGTCAACTAGTCTTCGAATTGGCCTTCCAGCTGCCCGTTGTCAGGGATGTGCTCATCGCTCTGGCGTCAATCCACCGCGAGTATGCGACTTTGGATCCCACCAGCAGCACACCCAAGGGCCCTTCTAGCAACACCCTAGCCCAGTACAATAAGGCTCTTCGCCGCTTCCGCGTCTATCTATCCCAGAATGCGGATCCGGAAAAGGAGGCTGTCGTGGTCTGCTGCATCCTGTTTCATTGTTTTGAAAGCGTGCGGGGCGAATATGAGTGGGCAGTCAAGCACCTAGACACTGGGATCGGACTCCTCGAGTCTTGGTACCCTGGAACTCTCTCTAGTACAGAACTTCTAAACCGAACTTCGAATGTCGAAACGAATATAGACACCCTGCGAGCAACTCTCATTCGTCTCGATATGCAGCTCTCCGTCTTCAACGACCATCGGATGCCCACTTTTGCTTTGGTTTCAAAGGAGGTAGCCTCCGGACAGTCGGACTGTACTCCTTCACACTTCCAGTCTCCGGTAGAAGCTCAGGAAACATTAGAAACTTTGCAAAACTGGCTTCTCCGTTTCCTCATTGGCCACACGCAATACAAGTCCCTCCCGCCTAGAGCCATGCCTTATAGCGTTTCGCTCGAGCTAGACGCGCTCCAGATACAATTTGCTCGCTGGGATACTGCTTTCCAAGAACTCACTCAAAGTGCACGTTCAAAAGCTACCGAGCCTAGAGCCGTCGGACTTATGAAGACCATGTCGTTCATGCGGCTCTCTTACAGCATCTGTGTCGCCATGCTGTCGTTTTCGTATCCCCAGCCCGCGGAGGAGCCAGCTCTCGACATGCAGCTTCGAACACTATTATCCGAGATCGAGTTGTTCCTATTCTTCCAGTCCTCCAGTAACGACGACGCAAACAACTTGCTGCCGAGAAGCGTCTCCTGCGACATAGGAGTCGTCATGCCGCTCTTCCTGCTCGCAGTAAAATGCCGCGATGCACCACTTCGTCATCGCGCCCTCAACACGCTTTCCAAGCTATCAAGACAAGAAGGTTTGATGAACGCGAAGACGATGTTAGGGATTGTGGTGAATGCGATGAAACTCGAGTTTGCAGGAAGCAGATTCCCG